CACACCCACTGTGAGCCCTGAGCCCAACAGCACCTTGGCCACCAGCTCCAGAACGACACTGGCCACCGGCATCGTGGCCGGCAGCTCAGGTGAGAGCCAGGCTGGGGGGCACTGGGCAGGCAGGTGACCTGGGTATGGGCACGGCAGCAGCCCTGGGGTCCCCTAAGACCCCCCCACTTGGGACTGCACTCAGAGGGGGGCTCAGGGGTGCAGGTGAGCCCCAAGACCCCCTGGCTGCTCCAGCCTCCTTGGGGGGTGTTGAGGGCTCCCCTTTTCTCCCCCAACCTCTGTGTCACAGGACCTCAACTGAGGGGGTGTGGGAGGGCCCCAGGCTGTTCCCCCATGGGTGGAGGTGACACAGGAACTGGATGCCAGGTTTCTGATGTAGGGGATGGTGGAGGGGGAGAACTGGAGCCAGTCTTGAGCCCCCTCTCACCCCGAGCCCCTCCGCGGTGCACGAGGCTTGGCAGTGCTGGGGGGGGTAATGGGGTGCCCGTCTCGCCCCCACAGAGCAGCAGCTGAGCTCTGGCGTGGTCGTCATCATCTGCCTCTTCGTCTGTGTGCTGGTGGGGGGCACAGCGGTGCTGCTGGTGCGGCTGTGCCGGCGCAGGACCCCCCGTGGGACCCCCCCCTTCCACCACCTGGACGAGGTGCCCATGGTGAGTGGGGGGGCCAGGGCTGGGGAGGGGGGGACTTGGAGGGGGCCAGGGTGTGGGTGCTCACCGCACTGTCTCTCTCTCCCCTAGAGCAAGGTGGTGGAGGAGTCCCCTGTCACCCACCCCACACCCAGGTGACCCCCACACACACCGCGGCCCCCCCGGGGCTCCCCGCGCTGCTGAATAAAGAAGCTGCTGCTCAGCTCTGGTTTCCCGTCTGCCATGTGCCCTGCCCGGGGAAAACCCCCGCTCCCGGGGGAGGGCCCAACCGCTTTCGGGGGTCCCCCGCTCCGGGCTTGAGGCCCCGGGGTGTTCCCAGGCCGGCGGGATGGGTGCGGGGCGGTGGTGCCCGGGGTGGGGGGGGCCGCGCAGCCCCCCCGACGAGGTGGGATGGGAGGGAGCGAGCGGCCAGGCACGCACGTCGCCTTCCTTCTGCTCCGCTGCACTCGGCCGAGGCCGCGGCTGGCGGCGACGACCGGGCA